AGATATTGATCAATTTGACGGGTCTGAAGTGTGTTACGACAGGATTGACATTTTCTCTGTCTCAACAAAGTAGCCACAGGAAATAGGTTGCACTGAGATGACCACTCTGTATCAAACTCTAAAGCCAATGTATTCATGTGCCATCACAAAATGACCGGTCCTCTGGAACCCTTTACAGGGAATGTTCTTAGACGTTAACACATGTTTTGACTACATTTATTGCAATAACATGTTTGTAGTTTTGTCATACGCGGATATCTATTAGTGTTTGCTACATTGATAGTAGTTTTCACCTATTGTTTAGTTAGTACTTAGGTCATTGTAGTAAGTTGTTTATCAGATATAGTTCAGACTTGTATATCATATTGTTTTTTGTTTTTGTTTTTTATTGACTGCTTATAAAACCCATATATTAGCGATGATGTACCAGGATGCTATTTGACAAAATAACAGCTGCATTATTTCTATAATAATTAAAATAAATACTATATTTTGTCCTGTTTTTACTACACCTGTTCATTTTTCTTTTCAGTGACTGATTGATCCCACAAGAAACACTTTTTTACAAATGACCTAACCCAAGACTATCCGTTATTGCCCACTGAAACATCAATGTGGGCATCCATTGTTTGAATATTCAGCAAATTGTTAACAGTCCTAAGTATTAGTTGCATTATACTACATATTACTGCCGACCCTATTCAGTTCTTCAGTACTTTGATTGCTTTGTAGCTGCTCCGAAGTACAAGGGAGATAGCAATCTGAAGGTATTGTTATAAAAATCAAACCAACTGTGATTTTACATAAGGTTAACTTTAATGACGTAACCAAATCATGTCTCGCAAAGTGTCCATGCGTTTTTGTATTCACTTTATCCTTTAAGTGCCAAATTAATTTTCTATAAAACTGTTTTGTATATTTTCATTGTTTCACAATATCATGGTCCTCATTCCTTGCTATGTTTTCCGTTTGTCATTGCTTTGTTTGATTTTATTAGCTTTTCTTTATCATGGTTTTATACGTTTCATATCATTATTTTTCACTTGATCAGTGCTTTGATTCATCACTCTTGATGTCATTGTTGAACAAGGCAATGTGACGAAAAATTTCGACTTTGTGATGTTAGTTACCTAATTTGGTATACATCTTAACTCTAAAAGAATAACAACAGGCAAAAACACACCACACGCTACCGCGCCGTACCAGTAACGCCTCTTTTCTCTCTATAAGACCACTATCAAAGGTGTAGAATGTAAACCTAAGTTGTAAGAGATTTTCGAACGTAACAGCAGGATCAGTTCAGTTTCCAGTATTGCGAAAAACATTTCATTGTTGTGGATCTAAAATTCTCTCTTCTGATATAGCTTTATCGATTTCAGTTGGTCGATGTTTTGCATTGTTTTGTGATTCCATAATGATAATGTTCAATCTGATAATATAAATCTATACTAAGTGATTCAAAGTTGTACCTAGCGTAATCATCATTGTCGGTGTAAGTAGTAAATGGGTTATGTAGTATGATTTAGAAAGTAATGTAGTCGATTCTGTTGTAATATATTACACTTTATAATACAGCGTTTCTGGTGCAAGGGCGGACAACAAGGGGTCGACGTGAAATCAAGTAATGTGAAAATGGTGGCTATATATGTCCCCTTGTCCTTCACTTCCTGACGCCGGAAACATTCTTTTAATAAAACTCCACACCTCATACATTATTTCATGGCAACGCACTCAGAAAGTTTTGGCGTTGTATCATCTTGGGAATGTTCCCGGAATTATCTGTAAAACCGAATGACAGCCACAGAAGTCTGATACACTCATCCATTGATTTTATGTTCCCCTGCTAACAACTCTTGTCTGGTTATAAAACTATTCTCTCCACTGCGCTGAATATATTGTTCGTAATAGCAATATCATAGAAAGTAATATCACACAACTGCTGCACACAATGATAAAAAAACTTTATAAAATAGAAGAGGTAGTAATGCATATATTATTCTTCCTTTCGTGGAGGCGTGCGTTCGTCTTTGTGGAATTCAATACTTCTGGAATTCAAGCCTGGACCACTACCGTTTATAGTCTTTAACCGATTGGTCAACCTTGTTTTCGATTGTATTATCGTATTATATACCATTTTGTGTTTGAATATGGATGTGATTAACATTTTCATTTCTATTTCTGAAATTTTACACTGATATGTATCAAAATGCTCTAAAGCGGAAAAAAAATCTAGGAAATTTCTGAATAGTTATAGAATGAAAATCAAAGAAAATAAAGATAGATAGGGGCTACAATTTACAGATTGATTTTGTGACGAATCACTAAAAATATCAATAATGGCCACATATATATAATCTTTAAGAACTTTGTCCAGTATTCAGCACTTATCGCTCATCCCCGTTATTGCACCGAAATAAAATGAGGGCGCTATGATGTTGATTAAACAAAGGCAATCGGTCCATTAAGGAAATATGTAAATGTGATTTTATTCAATGTTTCGATTTTTTATTATTTTTTTTTATTTCTAAACATCACAGTTATAATATATCGCCTTCTCTACTTTTGGAATTCACATGACGCCACTGATTCGCTAATCGAGAGACTGTTCTGAGCGTCAGGATCGTTTCATGGGTCATGCCTTCGAGACCAATACAGAATGAATCCAGGTTTCACTATTTCACAATACGTTACCGATGTGTTACGGCCATCATTATTTTATTTCTACCAGTGAAATGTCAGTTTCTACCTTGTTATAGGTTTTTAAACATTATTAATAGTAAGAAATGTCAATTGATTTTTGAAATGTGGACACACTTGGATAGTATAGATACGTATTGCTCTGTTATTTGAACATTTATACGCGTTCTTTTGATGTTTGATAGTGAATTGTTCTAAGAATAGTAGAACCATGAAGCAAAAATGGTTCCAAACCATATATATCACAGCGTCAACACATATGTACAAAATCGGATCTTGGGTCTGTTACAAATAAACTGAAAGCTAGCATGACCGTTCCAAAATACCTGATGCGAAACCAAGCAGATGCTTTGGAATGAAAAGCGTTTTATGCGACAACATGATGTCGAGTGTATAATGATTTCAATTATTGTTTCTGATATTCCAATCATCTAACCGATCCCGGGTAAATTTTAATTAAATCAAATTAAGCATTAAAACATCATTTTTCTTTTTTTTTAGAAATAAGTAGTAACACGCTTTGATGTGACAAATAACCTGTCGTCTTATGTCAAGGTCGTGACATTAGAACAGACCAGATAGATATCCCAAGTGTAACAATATGGTCAGCAAATCAATTTTGGTTCCGCCAACGTTCCTTAAGCAGAGGCAAAGAACCACCCTTGATTCTACAGAGGGAACCATGTCGGTCCTAAACGATCAAAGGCACTTCAAAAATGTGTCCATCGCGACGCATTTAATAACAATTTTTAAAAGGGGTGTTATAGTTGTGAACAATTAAGGTATTTTGTTTTAATTCCAACATGATTTATGGTTCAGTAAAGAGTTGTATATTGTTAGTTAATGCTGTGCATTATATCGTTTTGTTGTGTTCGTCAGCGTGTTTAATGACAATACTTTCTGCTGTAATATATATTTATTGATAGGAAAGCAGTGAGGAATTGATTTAATGTTGGCAATTATAGCGAGATACTTTATTAAGTTAATTTACTAGCTCGAGACATGTCTTGTCATTCAACAACGGTTGCACAGCATTATTGATATCTGACTACAAACTTATAGTCTATTGCTCCACAGTCGGAATATAAGAGGCAACGTCGTATCTGTAGAATTAATGGTCTGAGTAATCTGCAAACACTGTCGGCGAATTCCCGGTTTTTGGTATGGCAGTTATATAATCCTTGATCATATCTGCAATACAACGTGCACTTCAGAGCACATTACAAATGGAATTCCTCTTATTCATTGCGATCTCTGTAAACATCAATATACGCTTAAATGGAAGAGTGTAACTTGAAATGTATTAATCATCAACTGGATGATGGTGAAGAGTTCGTGGTATGCATTTTCTTCTTGTTAAGCGATACTTTTAACACTGATACTGCCATTTAGTGTTCAGTCATTATGTGAAAGAATAGCGTATTTAGTATAAGAATTATTCCATGGAAGTGCAATGTATTGTTTGTGTGTGATGTCAAAAGCAGACTTTCTGTTATGTGCAGCAAGTATTAGAAACGTTTCAATGAGCAAATATGAAGATATAAAACCGGATGCAAATATTTATAAAAAATATTCAAAAGAACAAAAACTCTTTTGCTATTTTACATCTCTCCTTTTTTCACATTTTTAGCATTAGTGTTCGCTAGCGAAGATAACCTCATGCAGAAATCAATTGCATCTTTAATAGAGTACAAATAAATCAGTATATCAAAGTTGGAGTCATTGACTCTTCTAATACGGTTTTAATATGAACTAATCCCGTTTTTAACAATAGCTTGTAAATTGTAAACGTTTTGCCCAAACAAATGGTTTAATGAAAACCCTTATGCACGTATTTTGTACTGTAATCGATTATAGGCAATCCAACTTTGAGTACATCAAACACTTGACCGGTTACACCGAACAGAAGACAACTAAAATATGTATCACCTATCAACATAAACATGTGACGAAGAACTTTAACGCGTGAGAACCAAGTACGTCCAAACACGTAAACACAGATATTTGCATTTGTGAAATCTCCATATTTCAAATAGTGCACATAGAAAGTCTAGCACTCCAAATAAGGTCATGGCTGACTCACACAAACTGTTTACAACAGGTTAAACACTTAAGTGTGAATATGCGATTATTGTCGACAGAAATGACCAACACAAAAGTAACTAGAATATACACCGTTTGTCCCTCCCATTGAGTCCGCGGGCCAGGGAGTTGGTCACTACGGTGAAAGTATGTGTATGATTAAACCCTCTGATCAATGGCATGAATGGTCGCTTGTGACATTCCAAATGCAGACAACCGCAACATAAGCGACAGTGTAGTAATGTTGTTGTGTGCATACTACCGTGTCGTCTGCTCACAAGTGGTGAGTAGTACACCTTACTGACAGACAGACGACAGTGAGTGTATATCTACGAGGGTGGGAGTTTGCCAGGGATTCAGGAGGCCCCGGAGAGTTATGTGCTGACCTGTTCGGTAATTAATTACAGTACTATAATCCTACAGCTGAATAAGCTCTGGCTTCACCGTTTGATGTGATGTTTTGCGGGTTTGGAGTGTGAATCACGTGATATTTACAACCAATCCTGATACATTTGATAAATTACTCTCTGTATCCAGCATAATATATATTGGGGAGGATTCAGGTGGTACGGTCATTCTATTTCGATCCTCGAACTGAAAGCTTGGCAGCGTAAGTTCATATTTGGCGTCTTGCTAAATTTGGGAATGAGGAGCTTCTGAATATATATATATACAGGCAGTGTTTGTGTGCTAGGACGCCGTGGACTATCACAGCTGGTTTTGTCGGTGTATAGTAGCGTGCAGTGCTAAACTTACGCTGCCGATTTCCATCGTCTGCAAATACTAGTGTTGTAGTACCTGTGATAAAATTGTCACGTTTCATATTTCCTTTGGAAAATATATTTACAGGTGATTTAAGATCTACATTAGAAGCTGTTCGCTGTGTGATTGGTGATCTTTTACTTAATTGTGTACTTATCTGCTCTGACATAATAGTAATTGTTGCTTGTTTAATCATCTGACAAGTATTTTGTATTTAAATGTAAATCATGTACGGTTCACTTTCATTCATAAACAGAAATACTGGTGTAAATGGTCTTTTGATTTAAAACATTATAGATGTAGGTTTGACGGTTTATTATGCGCTATAACTTTGCAGAGTCAGTACTCATTCATATTATTGAATAGGATTGACAGCACGCCTCTACACTTTTCCTTTAGTTTAAAACGTTTACACATCTTAGTGTATATTTTATCGCCCACGCCTGGTGCATTCCATGGTTTATTGCTTTATGAAAGGACATGATGAATTCAAATTGTTTAGTGAAATGTATGTTAGACAACAGTTGTCTCTTTTACAGGTGTGACATTATTTGTACTTCGTTTGATAAGAGATGAATATCTGTTCTGTTTCTTTCAAATAACTTTTATGTTCATACATGCAATGTTTTGTTAATTTACATTGCTCTAAAATATTATGAGCAGTTATATTTTAATAGTTTTTTTGGTAAAATATATAATTATATAAATTTTCTCTGCAGGCTTTCTGACAAGGCAAGATGTCAAAGTCACGCGAAACTGTTACCGAGAAGAGGACGGTGATAACGTCTTCCTCCTCCGCCAACTATGATGATGCTGCGGACAAAAATATCAGCACTTTCAAGTCCACCATCTCCCCACGGAACACAGTTTTGGGTCGAACCCCTGGGCTCCCCGGACTGAGGACGTCGGGTATGGGCGGGGATTCCGGCACCGTCATCACCCGTACGGTGGAATACGGGTACGGCAACAAACACATGGGTGGATTGCCGTCCGGTGGATATGAACAACGCACAAACACAGGTGTCACCGAAATGAAGGTTAATCGTGAGAGGGAGAAGAAAGACATGCAAGATTTGAACGAAAGGTTCGCTAGCTATATAGAAAAAGTGAGGTTCCTTGAAGCCCAAAACCGTAAACTAGGATCAGAATTAGAACATTTAAAATCGAAATGGGGAAAGGAAACGAGTCAGGTGAAACAAATGTACGAGACCGAGTTAGCTGAAGCAAGGAAGTTAATAGATGACCTAACACGAGAAAAAGCCAATCTAGAAATCAAGAACAGCAGTCTACAGGAGCAGATGTCTGATATGCAGAGACAGTAAGTAGTGCATGTCATTATTTTAAGCATTTGATATTCACAAATATTCCAGTGCATCCTATAACGATATGTGTGAAGTCGGTGTATCAGTTCAGCCTATCTACTTTCGCTTTGATTTCTGATTTTGATTACAAAATATAGTTGTCGGTAGTAAAGAACTAATGTAAAGATGAAGGATCTATGACGTTACGATTATATGATATTATTTAAGAAAAACTAAACAGGAGACTGATTTTTTTTTTAAATTCACTTTACATTCATTTATGTATATGCACAACGATATTATAATTTGATTACGACTGCGGAAATGTATCCATACACTTGATTCTGAAAACGATTACAATTCAATAGTCAGAACAAATCAGTATTCAATCAGACATGTTTTTTAACAGTAAATAGACCTACCTGTCATCTAATGACCCCATTAACTGTGATTAATTCAATATAGGGCTGATTATATGCTGTGACATACACGGACCACTGGTAACGGTTAACCTTTGGTGTCAACTCAGTAATCAATAACGGCGCGTCGAAACACATGTTAAACGTTGATTTCTTTGAATATATCTAGCACGATTAGAGATTTGACGATAGAATGCATTTAAGTAACTTTGAAACAAATGCTTTATATTTTGTGTACTATTGTTCATATTTGAGCGGGAAGAAATTTTACTTTCAATTAAACATGTATTCTATGTATAGCCACATTCAGTTATACCGTAGCCAGTATATACACACGAGGGAATAGACTCCTGGCCGTTCTATTGTTTGACTAGTAAAATAATTTAATGATATAATTGGCACAGAGCTATCGAAAGAGTAGGTTTTTGAATAAGATTTTAACATTGATCAGTCTTTAACTTTACGTGATATATATAAGTGTGTCGGCTTGTGTAACGTAATGGCTTAATATATTGATACCTTAGTTTAGCGCTGTGGGAGCTGCTAATCGCCTGGGATTGATTTAACATTGCACTCTCAGTTAAACACCCATGACCTGTGCCTTAATAAAGGATAACGGCCCTGACTCTGACTAAATACACGGTGAATAGTTTAGGAATCTAAATACAGTGTTACATCAGTTTAGTTAAAATATTAATCATATACTCATGGTTTATAAAGGAATTGATACATAAAACCCTTATAAGACTTTACTTTTTTTTTTACTTTTTAGTCCATCTTTCAAAAGTCACAGTCGAATATGTCAATAGCTACATAATTCATACTTGTATTTCTGTGTATTAGGAAGATCAATATGTGTTCTTAATATACATCATGTATCATTTAACACCTGAAATTCAATACAACGATTGGGCAAATTATTTATTGTCAATTATTATTATATAATAAATGACAAAATCACATGTTGGCACACATATATTAAGTATATGTTTTATAAATTAAAAAATGTCTATACATATATAATATAACGTATTGCACTTACTGTAATGTCAATGTTTACCATGTATGTCAACCTAATGATAGCGTAGTGGTAATAATTTAATGGCGGGCGCTCACGCATACCAAAAGGTACTGGAACATCTTAATATATGAAAGCTTGGGATACCCTGGCGAAATCAATGTTGCACTAGAAAGTATAAACACCGTACAAATTGTACTAAACTAGACTTCAATTCAATGATAATTAATAACAAATTAACACAATCTTTTCTTTCGAAAGTCTTATCTAAATGTGGGCGATGTTTCATCCTTTCTCAGTGTGATTGGGTTTAAAAGTGTAGGAGTCCCTTTGTCGATACAGTTCTTATGAGCTATTACTCTAATCTTCTCAGTCATCACACCTGTAATTCTTTGACATACACACAACTTGTGGGTTGTATTGGGGTGGGCTTAGTAAAGCAATACCTGTGTCGCCGAGTACAGTGTTTACCTACCGTGCACAAAGATCCGGTGTGAGTTGTGTAACTATTTCTAGCATATGTGTTTCACCTCTCCCTACACGTGTAATAAACAATATTGGGGGAACTAGATATATTGATAGCGTAAGGTATTCAGGCTAGCCACGTTTGTCTTTGGTCAGAAAATGTCATAATGCTTTGAAACGTCATGCATCGATAGAAGTTGTGCTGTGACGTCATGATTACACATTTCTTCCCAGTCGGAATCATAAGTTTCGTCTATACATTCTGGAAGAAATATATCGCCTTATTCGTGATGGGAGCTTATCATTGTAATAGCATGCGATGTGGTATATATACAATTCGGTAAACCTCGTGTGTTTTTATACAATTTGAAAATTAACGAGTTAGATCAAGGTGATAACAAGCCATACCCGTTTGGAGCCTCTATATCAGGTTGAGAAATAATGAATTGTTCGTTCATTTCGTTTTAAAAAGTCATACGTTATCCTTTGCATACAACCTAACTATTCATACAGTTCACTTCACTAGCACAAAAAGACAGAGACGTCTAAAGTACAAAGTATTATTTGAAGATGTCGAGAATTTCTAGAAAACAATGAGTTACTTGTCCCTTCTGAACATTACAATGGCACTGTCACACGTTTTAAATAATCGTTAAAGACTTATTTTATAACTGGTGGTGTGTCTGTCTTCCATCAGTAACGGGAATATAATTGCGTTCCTGCTGTTAAGGTTTATATAGGATGTGTTGTAATATGGGATTCGGTACAAACACTTCTGTTTCATCACCACTGGTGTTCGAGGTGCCAATACCTTACTTCAGTCTCGCAAATTATTGTCTGCGAAGCTAGTTCTGCACTCGTTAACTTGAGAAAATAAAATGTCTGCGCCATATTGTTTCTCTTTTCGGAAGATGATAGCAGATTGAGATGTCATCCGTTCTGTTTATGTATCTGCATTAGGTATCGTTTCCCGGAACCTACTTGTTTCATATGTGAAAGCAACTGTGTACAATTATGATATCAATCTAATATGATGTAACAACCAAAAGGCTTCCGAAATGAAAGCTCACACGACCTGAAGCTTTCAAGGTTTAGTAGTCCGGCACAGGAATCTGCATTGCAGCATTATATGTATCCCGATACGACCCAGACATCAGCGCTTTTTATCGCCTGTAATTGCAGCAGCCGGATCGATACACGATCTGTCCTGTTAGGTGTAACGGCCGTGGTAGCTTCACAATTAAACTATCACATAAATGTCATGATTTGTTAATAATCGTTTTTCGTGAATCATTAAAACAACTACAGGATGCCATTGATAAGTATAACATTTCAAAACCAAGAATTATTCTTATATAAATGTACATAAAAGGAAACAGTTGCGAAACGAGATGACCAGCATACCTATACCATTGAGTTTACGGGGGCAATATCATGCTATCTGTCTGGCCAATAAACCGCAGTGTATCGATAAAACAACACGATTCGTGGTCTTAAGGCCAGTCTAACGTTTAATTTCTGTTCATGTTTACCATCTCGTTATTTATTGATTATACATATAAGTCTTAGGCGGACGTAACGAGGCTCCTCTGGGGAAATACAACTTCATCGCTTAACAAGGGGATACTTTCAGAGATAACGGAGTGGCAGATATAAATACAAAGCAGATATAGCATGTTAACAGTATGTGCAATATTATTTTTAGAAAAAATGCTAGCTTATTTCAACCAATCAGATATATTTTTTCAGACAGAAGTTGACTATGTATTATAAAATGCTGTTTTATGTTGATATAGCAAAACCGGAGTGTGACCGTAGATTAACAGTGTGTGTTACGTTTATTGTGCTAGTCCACCCATATTTGTTACATTTTTTAATTATTTTGGTTCAATTCATATTCATATGATTACTTGTAAGCATGCACCGCTCACTCCTATGAACACATTACAGTATTAATGGGTTATTGATTATGAAATGAAACCAGTAAGCGTAAATTAACCCACCAACATTGTATGTTTTTATGAACCAGGATATATCTTATTCATTTCTATACACACTAGCTGTAAGAAATATAGCAGGATTATATTATCAAACTTTAATTCAATCGAATGTCATACAAATACCTAATTGTGGTAAATACAAACTGACACGAACACACGTTCACGTCAAATCATACAAATACCTAGTTGTGGTAAATATAAACTGACACGAAAACACGTTCACGTCAAATCTTCCCAGAGGAGGCATTCGTCTCATTGTGTTAAATGTTAAAATTAAACCATCTGATGTTATTTAATATTAATACTAGTAGAAGTTTCTATAAAAATAATAATGTGTATGTATAAAGTTTGGCGCGTTCGCGTAGATATATCAGTATCGTACAGGTAAATGGAACACCTTGTTAAACAGGTTTGACTAGGTATGTAACCAGGTATATGTTGAGGTCACTGTCATCACATGTGACACATGTTAGTGGTATATCCACATACTACAGCTGAGACAAACTTTAACACACCACTTTTGATATAAACGATAGTTTTAAAACAATAGCTATCGTGTATTGTACACTTTATTACGTCATCATGTCAAGTTCACTTTAAATTGATCAAAAATTTCAAAGCTTCAACGAATATCAAAGCATCAATGAAATGCATGCCTCAGCGAACATGCTATATTAATGTTGTAGGGACATTATGTATCGCTCGCAAGCATTTGAAAGTGTTACTCTACAATTTACATACGGCTACGATATCATGTAAATTTATGGATGTATGTTCAAATTATATAGATAAGCAGTGGATAGGACATTTAACTCCGAGTAGCTTATCACCTGTAAACATATTAGTAGCCGTCCACTCTCACTTCTTCATACATAAAGGTTTCGTCCTTTTGTCAAGTTTTAGTGATGTGCTGATGTTTTCATTTTTTAGTTACATAGCAGACTGATATGACCCGTTAAAGAGGCATTGGTATAAGCTTGTCTCGGGAGTTTCTCTCCCGCTTCATAACCTCACAGTAACAATAACATGATAAAATGGAGCATGACAGGTCTCGGGGGCTTTAGTTGTTTGCGGGACGTAACAATTCTTACGATAATCTTACTACATCTTTGTTC